TTTTATAGTTGATGAAGGAAATTAAACCAAGTTATTTCAGCATTAAGTTTTCTAATTCCTGCACGCAGATCCAATTCAAAGCCAAAAATCTCTATTAATCAGGCTGAATCAACTTTTGTTCAAAACATGAAATTGTAGGCCTTTGAATTAGCTTTTCAATGCCACAAGAATCATGTTATCTGATGGTTTGGATGCTGAGATATGCCCAAAATACTGAGAGTTGGTCAGAAGAGCACAGCAACGAAACTATATTTCAATAATTTGGACTTTTGGCTATGAAAACGTGAGAATCAAACTTTAATATCCCATAAGAATTTTGTTCTTATATTGTTCTAATAGGTCAAGAATTCAATTGGAGAGAAATCGAACTAAAACCATGGTGCGAAGAAACAATGGAAGAGGAAAAAGTCGAGAGACAGGAGTTTAATAGAATTGACATGTTTTAATATTTTGGCAATAACTTAAACTACCAAAATCAGATTAAGCTGATACTTATACATTTTTTAAGATAAAAGTCACATGAACATTCCGTATCAGTATTGTATATATACATATGCGCATAAAGAGTTTAACTAATTAGATCGTTACTTTAATTCTCTGCTTTTCTTCTGCATGTGACGCAATAATAGCCATTGTCTCTCGGTTGTTGTGATATATATTTTTTTAAGTTGTGATAATTTTTGATACCTTACACTTAAATATAAAGGATTCAACATAACATTGTATTGGCTTTCAACATTAATTCACCGATCATAAACTTATGAAAGGGTTCGCAATGATTTGCACTTGATAAAGGTTCAACCATTGTCAGCTAATTAGTCTTTAACAAGACAATTTCATCAAACTATGAAGCATTAGAATTAGTCACTTTTGCACCTCTAAGCCACAAACTATTTTGAGTTGTCAATTGGAGTAACTTTTTTAGTGCAATACATTGAATTTCAAATATTATCTTACCAGGTGGGTAATAGAAAATCCATACAACAATATATCTCGATATGCTTATTTATAGACTATTGTACGCAAAGAATAAATTTACATCATACATCTTCTAAGGAGTGAAGGTATTGATATTTTCGCAATATTTTTGCAATACATCTTAGAAGGTATTGATGTTTTCCCAATAATAAGCCCAAGATATAAGGAGTGAAGATCTATATCTATATAAATTTGAGAAGGAATTTTTAGCAACAAGTCTCCACACATCTTCCCACTACCAATTCTATTTTTCTAGCATTTCACATTTAATTTAATTTATAAAATATATTTTTCTTAACTTCCACATCTACTCTTCACATTTGAAATTGTTGGTTACTTTTTAAAATCATTTCATTTCAAATTGTTGGTTAATGTGCATATTAACTTATTTGAACTTCAACCTATCACGTTTCCGATTGCCTTGAGTTGTTTATGATTCTATTCCAATTAAAACTTCTATAAGACCATAACAAGAGACAACAAATATAACATCCTTTCATGCTTTCTTATTAATTTAAATAAGTAAGATTATTTACACGCTATTTTTGTTATTCAGACTTCAAGAATCAATTTGATCATATAGTTTTCATTAATTAGACTATATGATAAAACAAATGGTGGAATTACAAATAATAAAAAATGGAGTGCAAATAATATTTTCCTAAGTAAGAAGTGACTTCCATGCCTTTCTAATTTAAATAAGTAAGAAGTGGCTTTACTTATATAGGAATTTGGTTTGAAGTTTATTAGTGGGAGGGTAAATAAAGAGAAAATATTGCCAAACTTAGTAAAAGTAAAAAAGTAAATGATAATATTTTATCTTTTAACTTAGTAATCCTAAGTAAAAGAACAAAATTAAACAGAAAACAAAAAGGAAATAATGTTGTGGATTTAAAAAATCAAGATTGGTACCATTCATGAAATCTAAATTATGAAATCACTAAATAAAAAACAAAGTACTACTGGCCTTTTAACGTTGAATTTTTTTTTTTTGATAAATATGATAATAGCAATACCAATTCTACCAAAAATTTTTAAAAAAGTAACATTATAGTTTAAGAGAAAAATATTGAACATTCGACCCTAAAATACTACTTAATTTGTATATATCTGGCCCAAATTTGACCCTGATTAGATTTGAACAAGAGTGTAAAACCCAAACACTAAGAATAACTTTTGGTATCATTAATTATTTTATGTATTCTTATTGCCGTCTTCATATGTAAATATGTATTTGCTATGTTAAATATATATATATATAGATATATATATTGATTGTAGTACTTGAGGATATTATAGATATTATCAATTTTTCATTCCCATTTTTAGATACTAATAATTGCAACCATTGTAATCCATTTTCAATTGTATATTTTCATTATGATAGGTAAAGTTAAATATATTTGGTGCATGGATATGAATTTAGAAGTTGGGTATGGGGGGAGAAGGGAGAGGGAAGAAAATGGTGAGGAGTTGAAAAGTGGCGAGAAAGGTTGAAAAAGAAATGTGGGTTACAAGGATGGGCGGAGTAGGGAGAGAAGAAGAAAGGAGATTGCAGGGATATGATAGATATGACAAAAGAAAAAAAAATAGAGAGAGAGTGGTACCATGATAGAAGATACGAATGTCGTAGGAGGCATTTCATGACTAGCTGGTGGATAAGAGAAAAAAGAAATGATGGTGATTTTTAATAATTTTGAGAACTCTAAAAATATATATTACAGAGATTTTTTTTAAATATACGTTAAAGTTCATAAAAAAATACTAATCTAAATGCAGTCAACAATTTTAGCGGTACAAGACAGGAGAAAGATTTTTTTTCTAAAAATGGAAGAAAATAAATTGGTTATAATTTATTTTTTTATATTATAAGTTTTGATATATGGGTATAACATAATATGTTTTGTTGGGTACTGATAAATTAATTTTTTTTAAGAAAACTCTTCTCACCTTACCACCCAACCTAACCCTCCTCTTAATGCGTTAACAAATTTAAAATTTTTTCAACATGTTAAACATACACTTCTTTGAAATTTTTAGTCTATATATATATATATATATATTATTCTGTACCACAATATATAAATATATACAATATTATTTTAATTTGAAATATAATCTCGTGCATAGCACGAGTCAAAATACTAGTTTATATAAATATGTGAATATTTTTCAGGTCGTATTGGAATTTTGCTAAATTAAATAGTTTCACAAACAAGCCTCAGAAAGAAAAAGGAAAAACCCAAACAATATAAAATACTACTAGCATTACCAATGTCTAGTTTGGATATAAAATATGCAAACTATATTCTTGCTTTGAATGATAAAGAAAAGTTTTGATAAAGTAAGCCACTCGTAGAGGAGAGCGGCGAGTCAATAGGTGACAAAGTGACTTGCGTACTGGGTTACTGCTGGTGAACGTTCATTTCCTAGAGCGGTTAGGTTAGACAAACTGCTGCTTTCAAATTTTGTTCAAATGATTTTGGAACGGTTATAATAAATTTGTAAAATTACTTTCTCTATTAAAAAAAAAGATACTGACTTGGACAGAATTTGTTCAACCTTTCAAAATTAACTAGTAAAAATAAACTAGTATCTGCGACATAAAAAAGCATGGGAATTAAACGTCCCAATTAACTTATGTTAACTAACACAAACAAATTTTTAGAACCTCAAGTTAGAAGGAGATATTAATAGAGAGCCAAATCTTATATTTTGTTTTTTTTTATAAAAAAATGCGTTTATCTTAAGTGACAAAATTATAATAGAAACATTAATAACATGAGAAATTAGAGGGCATTCGATTCAGTAGATAGAAAATAGGTTAATTCATTATGATTAAAATCAAGATTTAATTTTGACAAACTTGAAATTATGAAATTTTGTATATCTGCAATTAATGTTTAGTGTTTTTTTTTTTTTTTTGTATATAACTCCTTCAATCAACTTGACAACAATTAATTCTTTGATATATGAATACGGTTTTATTCATTTGAATCAAAACTTAGTATTTTGAGAAATTCTTTTCGCTGTACTTATTAATATAAAATGGTAAGTTCTTATAAAATGAGAAAAGAGCATGTTAAGACAAAAATTGTTAATTAAAGTTCACAAGATATTGCATCAAATCCCTCAGAATGTCTCTCACGAGTTCCCTCAAATAATTTGAATTTAAAAATGAGAAAAGAACATGTTATCACAAATTGAAAAAGAAGTGAAAGATTCTAAGTGGTCCCTATACATGAAATCAGTTCAACATCTTTCTGTCATATATATGTAACTCCAAGGATTGCCCTTTTCGAAATGCTAAAAAACATTTAGTCTGCAGAAATTGTTAATTAAACACAAGAGCTTTAAGTAATAAATGGAGTAAAACGCATTTTATTATGGGCTTTGGCATAATAATAAGCGATCTTTGGGCATTATTAAGACAAAAATTTGAAGTCACTCTTAAATACATTCCTCATGAAATTTTTATCTCAAATATATTACATCATTAAAAAAAAAGTTACTCCCTAAAATTTGAAAAAGGTATTTCGATACCATTTAATTATTGGATACCATAATGTACAAGGAGTTAAGAAGGTACAAGTTGAAAGCCAAGGAACCCAAATATGGGAATATTTTGTATTTGTGCTTGTAGTAACAAGTATGCATTTGTTAGATGAATATTTGTTTAAATATATGTTAGACATTTTTGTTAAGATTTGGAAATGTGACAAATTTTCAAATATTTACCACGTTTGCAAGGCAAACGTTCATGAATTTGTCCAAAGATAGTGCCTGGCCTAGCAATGTGTAGAGTATACTATTTATGAAGTCAGGCATACAACTTGCCAATAGACGGCGGCTAATTTAACATCCTAATCTACGAAGAAGTTAGTTAAGCTGCTCATGGAATCTGTGTATAAAAAACCCTGTAGCGTAGTTCACATTCTTCAAGATTAGAATCAGCACAGGTTTCTCTAATCAATTAGAAGCCATGGCCAGCCACAAGGCATTGCTGCTTCATCTGCTAGCACTCTTCTCCATGCTGTCCATGGGCGCCAATGCTTGTAAGTTCTGTGGTATTACTCTACCATTTGTACCAGACTTCCTCTGCCGACCACCTTCCTTCTGCCAACCACTACTCCGTCCGCCTCCACCACCACCTAGGAACAGTCCACCTTCACCTCCACCTCCTCGAAGAGGGATTCCAATACTGCCCCCCATTTTGCAGTAATTGTTCTCCTCTGGCACTTGATTTGAGTGCACCACTTCATATATTACACACTCTATGCTAAATAAAGGAAAAAGTAATGCAGAATATGAATAATAATATCTGAAGAATAGGTATGGGCAGAGTTTCGAGCTCTGCAGCAAGAAGTTGTATTAGATACTGTATTTACCTTTAAACCAGTTGCTTACTCCTGGGAATTAAGTGACAAGCACTATGATCTTGTACTACGTTTATATATTATGTATCGAATAAGACTTGATACTCTGTATTGATATCACGGAACCCCCACTTTTTCTTTTGGGTCTTACGGAGTTATTGGTACTTTTCGTGGCTTACTATTTGCTCGTTGAAGAGGTCGTTTTTGTCCTGCTGGAGTGGATCACCCGAGCTGGAGAAGACCTCTTATCCTAGGTGGTTGACTCAGACGAGGTCACCTGCTCAAATTGTAAGAGGGACTAAAGTCCCCGGTGTAACTCCGAAGCTTAAGTCAGTTCGGGAGTAAAGTAGTAATGAGTATAGAGAAGACTAGTATGCCTTTACCAGAAATTTGGCCGTCCTTCCTCTCAGTGGAGGCGTTGAGTATTTATAGAGGTCAGATAGGAGAGAGGGACTGTTTGCACAGGTCCCTAGAGATCCGGCAGGGCCAGTGTATCAAGGTGTCATAATGGACTCTGCCGAAAGGTGCGCCGAAATAGTTGTGTCAGGCGGCGCAGGTCAGAGCAGCTTTATCAGAGGTGTCAGAGGTCGACCTCGGTTGCCAGGTCGTTATCCTTGCTTCGGCTTCCTGAGTGCGAGCCTTGGCCGAGGCAATAACTGTGCCGAAGTCAAGGCCTGATGGTGGGAGGCCGAAGCAGTCAGAACAGCTCTAGCCGAGTTGGAAATACCCTCCTCACTAAGCCCCCCAGCCTTGGGAAGGGGGAGGTCGCGGTCTCCCGAAGTCATCACTTCCCGAGGCTGACACGCGTGTGGAACACGGAACAGGACTAGGGCACGTCACGACTGTGGAGATGTGACTGGAGAAAGGTGAAACGGGGGCTGGCAGCCTTAACGTCGGGTCAATACGATCGATTGTCAGGTGAACAGCACCTTCACTAATGAGGAGAGAGAGCGTTGGGGAATCCCAAGGATCGCGTCTCTTCGGTTCCCCCCCCAGTTGCCTATAAATAGGGGTTTCTTTTCACCGTTCCATTCTTTACCAAAATTTGAAATCACCTCAGAGCTCTGCCTATTTGCTTTTTCACTTCGGCAATCTTTCCAACCTACATCTTCCTCAGCAACTTCTTCACTTCGCATCTTCTGAGTAAGTTCACTTCTTCTTTCTGTATTAACGGCTAGAACAGCTCGCACACACAAAGAGACGGTGAGGCCTGACTTCACCGAGGCAGAGAGGCCCGGCCCTACCGAGGAGAGAACTGCACCTGACGCCGAGGAAGGAGGTGCGGAAGCTTCTTACCGAGCCCGGGGAGGAGGTGCGGAGGCATCTCGCCGAGCTGAATCTCCAGAAGAACAGGAACAGGCCGAAGAGATCGAGGTCGAGCCCGAGGTCTTGTACAATGATGACCTCGGGAATGAAGTTCCTAGGGACGAAGGTGTACAGGAGCCCTCCACTCCTCCAGACGTGGCCACGCTAAACTATGGCCAGATGCCGGCCTTCGCCAGTGCGGTGGATCAAGCTTCCATAGCCGAGGTGATTCGCAAGTATCCGTGGAGGAGAGAGTACAGTATTTACTTGCCGCGCCCACATCACTCCGCCGCCCTGCCACCGAAGGGTAGGGTGGCCATCTATGTGGATCAACTGGAGGCCGGACTCAGAGTTCCCACAACGAGGTTTCTTCGGGATTGCCTAAGGTATTGGGGGGTGAGAATCACCCAACTCATGCCTAATGCCATCCGCGTCCTCGTCGGCTTCCAGCTACTCTGCCGACATCAGAAAATAGAACCCACAGTCAACCTCTTCCGCCGCTGTTACTCACTCAAAAACAGCGGGAGTGAGAAGGGATGGTTCTACTTCGGGAATAAAGTTGCGAAGCTGGTGGTCGATGCTCCGAGCTCAATAAAGGAATGGAAGAATAACTTCTTCTTCGTCCCGGCTGAGGACTTCCCCAGGGGATTCTGGTGGAGACCTCCCACTTCGGTCAAAGAGACCTATCCGGGCAAATTGGAAGAACGCAACTTCCAAAAGTTGACGGGGTCGGGCCTCAGGATCAACTGCTGGGATTTCCCCGAAGTGATCCTAGTAAAAGGCGGGATCAGCCGAGCCTTGATTACCTCGGATCACCCTGTCCTCCTCTCTTCTAGGCTTCACATACCTTGTACTTTTCTATTCTCCTCTTTTAGTTTACCCTTCTTGAATTCTAACTAACTCTCCTCCATGCTATGCAGTGACAAAGATTTCCGACCTGATCACGTCGGGGGGAGCCGAGGTGGCAAAGAGACCGGCAAAAAAGCGCAAGGACGCTGGTGAGTCCTCTTCCAGGCCGGCTAAGAAGACCACTGCGGCGGCAGTTACTCGCGAACCTGCCGTGGTGATCATAGGCGAAGGGTCGCACACCTCGGGCACGCCGGGGAGGTCCAGAGCTTCGTCCATCCCGGTGGGAGTCCCTTCCCACGGAGTGACACTAGCCTCTCCACCTCGGGGGAGGGGTCGAGGTGCGACCGTTGTCCAAGGTGACTCCGTCTCGGGGAACTCCTTGTTTAACCTCCACCACGTGCCCTCTTTAGCAGCCGGAGAGGACAAGAGGCACTCCGGGGCACAATTTTGCCCGGAGTGGTCGGTCAATGTCAATGACCGCTACAAGAATCCCCAGGTCGCGCACGAGCTCCTGGTGAATTCAGTCCTGCCACGGGACAATACATACACCAGGAAACTTAATCCGGCCGAGCTGATGTAGGGCGCCTCGGTTTCTTGGGCTTCCACCACGGCGTTCCTCGCTGAGATGTACCAACGGTTTGGTGACTTCATAGAGACTTATGAATCCCCTGCCGAGCTCCAGAAGAAGATCGCCGACCTGGAGGGGAAACTAAAGGCTGCCGAGCTGGCACGTGACAAGGCCGAAGTGGCAAAGAAGAAAGCCGAGGTCTCGAATAACTCCCTCATAACTGCTCTTGATGAGGAGAGGGAGAAGAGAGCTCAGGAGGAACAATCATCTCAAGTGGCCATAAACACAGCCGGGGCCACCGCCGTGGAAGCGTTCCGGAAGTCAGAGTCCTTCATCCGTGACCTAGGCCAGCAAACTCGACCGAGCTTCATGCTCGGCTACACGTCGGCCATTAACGACGCGGCCTCCTTCCTTTCCCCCGAGCAACTGGAGTTCCTTCAGAGTGCCTCGCACTACAACGAGGATGCCAAGGAACTATGCGACCGAGTGGGCGAGGGCATCCAGGCTGGAAGGGACCTGGCCGAAGTCCGAGCTGAGTTCAATAAGTGGCTCCAGGAGTTCGAGCTGGATGGTGACAGTGCCGAGGAGGGCCAGGCCGGTGAAGGAGAAGAACAGCAGGATGCCGAGGCAGGCGGGGCGGATGCCGAGGCGGGCGAGGAGACCCTGGGGGAACAGGACCCCGGGGCAGGAGATGCTTAAAAGCGTCTATTTTGTAGTAGATGGGCCGAGGTCGTAGATAACCTCGGCCTATTAGCTCTTGTAATCGGGGGTCGAGGTCATGAATGACCTCGGCCTTTTGCTTTTCTAATTTCAATAAAGTTGGCCTTTTTTCTTCAATTGAGTTCAGTTTTTCTTTTTTGCTACTGCTTTGTCCCCTTATTTTTCACTTAGGATAAAATGAGAATAAGTGAGAAATAACCTTAAGAAGTAATGAGATATAAAAATACGTACCCCTCAAGGGTAATACAACTTAAGGTTCTCAGCATGCCAGGTTCGGGGTACCCGCGAACCATCTCGGTAGGCTAGTTTACAATATCCGTTTTGGCTGGACTCAACAACACGATATGGACCTTCCCATCTTGGGTTGAGTTTTCCCTGAGGCTCAGCTCGGCTAACCGAGTTCTTCCGGAGCACAAGGTCTCCCGGATTGAATCTTAAATTCTTGACCCGAGCATTGTAATAGCCAGTTAGGATATTTTTGTAGATCGCAACTTTGGCAGCGGCCATATCACGCTTCTTTTCGGCGAGATCGAGGTCAACTCGCCGCTCCTCTTCATTGACCTCGGCAGCATACGCAGCCATTCGCGGGGTGGGTGTGATAAATTCGGCCGGAACGACGGCCTCAGACCCATAAGTTAGGAAAAACGGCGTTTCTTGAGTTGCTGACCTCGGCGTAGTCCGGTAGGACCACAGCACGCTCGGGAGCTCTTACCCGCGAACCATCTCGGTAGGCTAGTTTACAATATCCGTTTTGGCTGGACTCAACAACACGATATGGACCTTCCCATCTTGGGTTGAGTTTTCCCTGAGGCTCAGCTCGGCTAACCGAGTTCTTCCGGAGCACAAGGTCTCCCGGATTGAATCTTAAATTCTTGACCCGAGCATTGTAATAGCCAGCTAGGATATTTTTGTAGATCGCAACTTTGGCAGCGGCCATATCACGCTTCTCTTCGGCGAGATCGAGGTCAACTCGCCGCTCCTCTTCATTGACCTCGGCAGCATACGCAGCCATTCGCGGGTTGGGTGTGATAAATTCGGCCGGAACGACGGCCTCAGACCCATAAGTTAGGGAAAACGGCGTTTCTTGAGTTGCTGACCTCGGCGTAGTCCGGTAGGACCACAGCACGCTCGGGAGCTCTTCCATCCATGACGATCCAGCCCGATGAAGCCTGGTCTTGAGGCCATGGAGGAGAGTTCGGTTGAAGTTTTCGGCTTGTCCATTCGCTTAAGGGTGCCCCACCGAGGTAAAATGTTGCCTGATTCCCAAGTTCTCACACCATGCCTTGAAAGGGTTATCAGCGAACTGCCTTCCATTATCCGAGATCACCACTCGAGGTAATCCGAAGCGACAGATCACGTTTTTCCAGAAAAATTTTTGGATAACCATTCCAGTGATGCTTCTCAGGGGCTCAGCCTCGACCCATTTAGTGAAGTAGTCCACCGCCACCACCACGTAGGCATAGTTGCCTGGGGCCCTGGGGAATGGACCGATTATGTCAGTTCCCCATTGCTCGAATGGCCATGGTGAGGTGATGGGGATCATAAGGTTAGTGGGTTGGTGGTGCTCCGGGGCATGGTGTTGACAAGAAGGACAACAAATGACCATGACCTGGGCATCTACCCTCATGGTGGGCCAAAAGTACCCGAGGAGCAGAGCTTTCTTCACGAGCATCCTAAAGCCGACGTGGGCACCACAGAGTCCCTCATGAATGTCCTCGAGGATTCTCTTACCTTCTTCCGGGGTGATACATCGTAGCCAGGGGCCGAGGTAGGACCTCTTGTACAAGAGACTTTGCCGGAGGGTGTACCGAGCTGCTTTTCGTTGGAGCTTCCGTGATTCAGCTCGGTCTTCCGGAAGCTCACCCCGGCTGAGATATCGAGTCAGGGGACCCATCCAGGTGTCCCCTGGGTAGACGGGGTACACGACCTCGGCTAAATATCCCGGTTCGGCTAAAACTTCTACGAGGACTGTTTTGTTCAGATCGGAGAAGGAGGTAGACGCAAGCCGGGAGAGAGCGTCAGCCCTCCTATTTTGTGACCGCGGTATTCTTTGGATTGCAAAAGACTCGAAGTGTGCCGCCAATTGGAGAACCTTGGAGAGGTACCGATGCATCACCTCATCCCTGGCCTCGTATTCACCTAGTATCTGGCACACCACGAGTTGGGAGTCACTATAGACCAGAACGTGCGCGGCCCCCAGTCTTCGAGCTAGTTGCAGGCCGGCGATAACAGGTTCGTATTCGGCTTCATTATTTGAGGCTGCGAAGTCAAACCTCAGGGCATACGAACAGATTTCTCCTTGGGGATCTTCGAGGAGCAAGCCGGCTCCACTACCCTCGTTATTGGATGAGCCATCCACATGCAAGGTTCATTGCTGAGGCTCGGCGGTGGACGGGGTGACAGCTTGGGTGGTACCCGGGATGGTCTCATTCACTTCCTCAAGATGAGTGAGCTCGGCCAGGAAATCTGCGAGAGCCTGGGCTTTAATTGCCGTGCGGGGCTCATAAGATAAGTCGTACTCTCCCAACTCGATGGCCCACTTGGTGAGGCGTCCAGAGGCCTCCGGTCGCGACAAGATCTGCCGAAGTGGTTGATCTGTCCGCAGGCAGACGTGGTGGGCTAAGAAGTAGGGCTTAAGCCTACGAGCTGCATGAATTAAGGCCAGCACAAGTTTCTCCGCCTGAGTGTACCTGGTCTCCGGACCTCGGAGGACTCGGCTGACATAATAAACAGGTGTTTGGACACCTTCCTCCCTTATCAGTACGGCACTTACGGCTTCGGCTGCAGCAGACAGGTACAAGAATAACCTGTCCCCTGGACGAGGTGAAGTGAGTGTTGGGAGGTGGTTGAGGTAGTCTTTTAACTGCTCAAACGCCTGTTGACACTCTTCCGTCCATGAAAATTTGTCGGCTTTCTTGAGGACTTTAAAAAATGGCAGTGCCTTGGAGGCGGATTGTGATAAAAATCGGTTCAGAGCGGCCAAACGCCCCGTCAGCCTCTGGACGTCGCGGACGCACCTTGGTGGGGACATTTCTTGGATGGCCTTCACCTTGTCTGGATTTGCTTCAATACCCCGCCTAGAGACGAGGTAGCCCAGGAACTTTCCCGAAGTGACCCCGAGAACACATTTCTTGGGGTTCAGCATCATTCGTGTCTCCCGAAGGACTTCCAGGACTTCTTTCAGGTCGGCAAGGAATGTGGAGGTTGTCTGGCTCTTCAAGAGGACATCATCTACGTAGGCCTCGACAGTCCGGCCGATTTGAGATTTAAAGGCTTGGTTGACCAAACGTTGATACGTGGCCCCGGCGTTCTTTAGTCCAAAAGGCATGGTGGTGTAACAGTATGTGCCTTTGTCAGTATAGAAGGCGGTCTTTTCTTGATCCTCCGGACTCATCCCGATCTGGTGGTATCCTTTAAAGGCGTCAAAAAAGCAGAGGACTTCATATCCCATTGCAGCGTCTACCAAGGTGTCGACCTTAGGCAATGGGTAGCAATCCTTGGGGCAAGCCTTGTTGAGGTCGGTGAAGTCGACGCACATTCTCCAGGCTCCGGTGTCCTTCTTCACCATGACGGGGTTGGACAACCAGGTCGGATATTGGACCTCCCGGATGATCTTTGCGGGGAGGAGTTTGTCTACCTCTTCGCCCACAGCTCGGCTGCGCTCAGGGCCGAGGTGCCTTCTTTTTTGTTTGACCGGACGGACTTGGGGGTCGACGTTCAACTCATGCATCATGAGGTGATGTGGGACTCCTTTAACCTCCTCGGCGGCCCAGGCAAAGACGTCCTGGTATTCTCTGAGGAGGTCTATCATACCTCTTTTAACAGGACCAGGGAGTCGGGTACCAACGCGAACTGTTTGATCAGGCTTCATGGGGTCCAGAGGGAACCCTTCCACCTCATCCCCAGTCTCCAGCCTCGGGATCTTCTCAGCTCGCTGAGGGTCAATGCTGTCTATTGTGAGGATATTTGACCTCTTCTCGGGCCTTGCCCCGGAGGTTGATGGGGAGGCCGCTTGTAAAGTGGCGAGGTAACATTCTCGGGCAGCACAGACGTCGCTGTTGACCTCGGCCACTCCCGCCGAAGTAGGAAACTTAAAGCTTAAGTGGTAGGTGGAGTACACTGCCCGCAAAGCGTTAAGTGTGGGTCGACCAAGAAGCAGGTTGTAGGGAGAGTCAGCCTTGACGACTACGAAGTTGACGGGGATGGTTCTGCAGCGGGGATGACGCCCTACAGTCACTGTCAACTCCACCATCCCTTCGGGATGCACAATGTGTCCCCCGAACCCGACAAGAGGGGTTCTCACCGGGGTCATGCACCCCTTGGCTAGTTTAAGGCTCTCAAAAGTACGGAGGTACATGACGTCAACCGAACTTCCCGGGTCAATGTAAACCTTTTTCACGATGTAGTTATTGGTGAGGATTTCAATTACCAGGGCCTCATGACTGTTGGAGGCAGCCGGGACGGGGTCAGTAGGGCCATATGAAATGACTTCGGACAGGCGAGAGCTCGATTCTGCCTGGTCTGGGTTAGCTTGCCTGTAGGTCCTCTTCCGGGAGTTCTGGCTATCTCCTCCCGTCGGACCTCCAGCAATTGTATTGATGACCCCGGCTATATTGGATCCATACCCTAATCCATGTCCAGAAGATCCATCCCGGGGAGGCCTTTTCGTCTCCCTAGGTTCCTCCGGAGGCCTGCAACTGCTCCTCGAGGGTCGCCTTTCATCTCGGCGTTGATCACCCCGGTTATCTCGTCGGGGTTCATTTCGTGGCTGTCCGCCACTTCGGCGGATGAACTGCCTCAGGTGGCCCTGTCTGATGAGGTTTTCGATCTCTCTTTTGAGATCGTTGCAGTCCTCAGTTTCGTGCCCGACGTCCCGGTGGTACAGACAGTAGAGGTTCGAGTTCCTTTTGTCTTTATTGCCAAACATCTTGGGAGGGGCCCTCCCGAGGTTGTTCTGTTCCATTACAGACAGCACGCGAGATCGGGAAGTGTTTAAGGGAGTCAGTTCGGATTCAGAAATGGGTGACTTTCCCTTTGAGATCCTGTCGAACACACTCCGGCGATCTCGGCTGGGACTCTGGAAGCCACTTCCTGTCCCCGCCTCACTTCGGCTAGGCTCCTTCCCTCTTCGGGTGTCAACCCTCGGGCGAGCAGCTTGGACTTCTTTTTTCATGCGGTTGAGGTCCTCGGCCTGTATGCCCTTCTCAACCTTCAACCACAATTCATGAAGTGAACGGGGATATTTCTTGTAGATCCCCGTGTTGAACACCCCGGCAACGAGCCCATGGGTGAAAGCGGCAATAGTGACCTGCTCATTGGGGTTAGGTATCTGCACGCTTTCTTCGTGGAACCTCTGGACATACGACCGAAGTGATTCCCCCGGGTTCTGCTGCAGATTCAACAGATAAGCCGAAGTCCGAGTCGCCGGTCGGGAGGAGACGAAACGGTGAAGGAATTTCTCCACCAACTCCCCCAGGGTTGAGATGCTCCTAGGTTCCAAACCCCAGAACCATTTTCGAGCTGTCCCCTGGAGGAATACCGGAAAAGCCCGGCATATGACGGGGTCCGGGATGCAATATAGGCGGAAGGCCGAGATGAAGGCATGAATGTGGTCTTCCGGATCACCTCGGCCGTCATAAGACGGTATCGATGGAAGCTTGAAGTTGGGAGGAAGTCTCTCCTCGTTGATGTCTTCGGTGAAGGGTGGAGCCCTCGGGTAATCCACCCCGGCTCCCTCCATAGGTCGAGGCTCTTCAGGTCGTCGGCCCAAGAGCCCTCTCGATAAAGACCTGGTCAGGGAGGCTACCTTAGAGGTGGCCTTAGAAAATGCTTTCTTCGAAGCACTTCGGCTCAAGCGTCTTCCATCGGACTCTTCTTCGGACGAACCTTCGGGGGATCCATCCGACTTCCTTTTAGAGGACTCGGCCTTTTGCTTGCCTTGTCCCTTGAAGTACCTCCCTAACTCCTTGAAAATGTTAGGGTTCTCGGTCACAAACTCGGCCATACGAGCTATGGCTTCTTCGTTTGCGGGCTGGGTCCTTGGGGACTCCTGCCCTTCAGAGATACCTTCTTGCTGAGCTACATTACTCTGCTCAGCCCCTATAGCGAGAGCTTTCCTGCTCCTAGAACGCGTAGGCTTCATTCTTTGATGTCTTTGCGTTCCCACAGACGGCGCCAATTGAAGAGGTCATTTTTGTCCTGCTGGAGTGGATCACCCGAGCTGGAGAAGACCTCTTATCCTAGGTGGTTGACTCAGACGAGGTCACCTGCTCAAATTGTAAGAGGGACTAAAGTCCCCGGTGTAACTCCGAAGCTTAAGTCAGTTCGGGAGTAAAGTAGTAATGAGTATAGAGAAGACTAGTATGCCTTTATCAGAAATTTGGCCGTCCTTCCTCTCAGTGGAGGCGTTGAGTATTTATAGAGGTCAGATAGGAGAGAGGGACTGTTTGCACAGGTCCCTAGAGATCCGGCAGGGCCAATGTATCAAGGTGTCATAATGGACTCTGCCGAAAGGTGCGCCGAAATAGTTGTGTCAGGCGGCGCAGGTCAGAGCAGCTTTATCAGAGGTGTCAGAGGTCGACCTCGGTTGCCAGGTCGTTATCCTTGCTTCGGCTTCCTGAGTGCGAGCCTTGGCCGAGGCAATAACTGTGCCGAAGTCAAGGCCTGATGGTGGGAGGCCGAAGCAGTCGGAACAGCTCTAGCCGAGCTGGAAATACCCTCCTCACTCGTAGTTATATCTTAACTATCAGCCTATCTATTATGAGTAAAATGCAACTATGGCCACTGAAAAAATTCGTTTGGCCCACTGACATTTCTTGGGTGTTAAATCACTAGTTAAACTTCCAAATGCGCACTGTTTTGATCATTTTGTTGCGGCGGACATGTAAACTACCATCACAGCCACATTTTGGCCATTTATTCTGGTCAAGAATAAACTTTTATTTCACATGCTGAACTTTTTCTTTTGTGTCATTTCGCCCATTTTAATTTAAAATGTGTAGATTAGGTCTTTTAGAAATAACAAAAATACCCTGAAAGGGGGAGGCTGCATGTGACGTTAATTGTGCCAAGTTATTGGAAAAGCCATGCACTTATATAAGCTCAATCACACTGAGAAAGACTCGATCTAGTGATTAAAGTTGACGCCACAAAAATTAGAAGTTTTGGATTCAAATTCATCTTTTGTTTCACTACTTCTAAAATTTCACGCCTTCCCTATGTAAGAAAAATCAAAATTAAAAAAAAAATAGAAGTTCAGTCATTGAATTTAGAAGAAAAGAACTTGGATCTCCCTTTCTTCTAATAAAGATATAAAAGATATCTTAAAAACAGAATAAAGTGAGAGTGAGATCGCATGTATGCGATGCGAGCCCCTTCATAGTCACATTCAAAGATCGTTAGGACCCCTATATAGGAATGGGAGGCCAAAGGTTACTTCTGGTGGAAGAATTTTAATATCCATAACAACTTTATAATTTTCTCAGAAAATGCACAGATCATGTAATCCCCCATCTTATTTGGCAAAAATTTTCTACAATTTAAATTCTGGTAGAATGAGGCGTGGGAGATTTGAAGAATGGAAACAAGAGCCATTTTGTAGTCCGAACAAGCAATGCTGTAGCAATAAAAGTTAGAAGACTAACTTGTTGAAAGAAAAAAATACTAAGACGAAGTTGTTGCAGGTTTTTTTTTTAAAAGCTGTTGCAGTTTACCGCATTGCATATTAAGAAAACTAATATAAAATCTCTTAACAGAAAGTTAAACAAAAATGATCATATATGACCATTGATATATGATCATTGATAAATGCTTTGGGATAATTAATAGAACTACGTTACCAAGAAAATAACTTGATTTATATAAACTACAAAAAAGAGTCATAGCAAAACTTTTAAGGAAATATTATATTACCAAACATGTAAAAAATAAAAATCTTAGAAAAGATGAAATTTCCTGGAAAAATAAATTCCTTACTAGCTCAGAATATTTCTTTAAAGGTTTTGCCGTGATACTTTCGTGTAACTTTTTTTTTGTTTCTCAATGTAAATCCATCTATTTTTTTTTTCTAAAATACTTTCATTATTTATTTCAAAAAATTTCGAAATGCAAAGATCATTTACATGGGAGAATCAATTCCAGGTTTTAGAGGATATCTCTTTTCTAACTACGATAAAAAATAATAATAATTCATTTGCAAAAGCTACAGGCAATACTGCCGGAATTTGACATTTGACAAGGGAACCATATCCAAACCGCCCAATGTTTTTCTCAAATAATAGGCAAAATACTAGTTAAAGTAAGTACGAAGAAATTCGATTTCCATGCCCAAGGCCTTTCTCTTGCCCAAAGTGCCCAACAAGCAATTCATTCATATTCACTGAAAAATTGACACTAGTTGTACAATTATTAATCCACATGGGAAACCTTGGAAGTGAATTCCTAACCATTATTAATAGGAACCATGGAAGTCCCTGCTAACAAAATCATATGGCTCCAACATATCCGCCTTTACTCTACCACGAATTACAAGCCTTTTTCTTACAGTTTATCAAACTAACTGGACTGATTTTAACCTTTCTGCCAAGATTTTGGAGTACCATTTGCACATGAAACTAAAATATGCTATATATCTAAAATCCGTCACCCTATTAGCAGTTTCCACTTGAATTTTAAGACTATTTTAAATACCATAAAGGGGATCACCTTGTTGAATTCAAAGCCAAATTGTTGACTTTGAAATAACTCTACCACAATTGTTGACTTTGAAATAGCCAAAATTGTTGAAATATTTGACATAATTCTTATCCCACATCGATTGAATTGGGTTTTGTGGAATGGTTTGAGAGCTATTTAGGTTTTGTGGAATGGTTTGAGAGCTATAAATAGCTCTCAAACAAACCAATTCTTTATAACTCTCAAACAAACCAATTCAATCACACCAAGCAAGAGCTAATAACTTGCTTTCTTCTCTCTCTTTGTAATATTTCTTCTAGTGAAATATTAAATTGTCGGTAGTGTCCGAGGACGTAGGCAAATTAGCCGAACCTCGTTAAATTCTGGTGTTTTATTTTATTGTCTATTTAGTAGGTATATTTGTAGTGAATTATTGTGCAATTAATTGCATATATAGGTGATTCTGTCTAGGAAATTGGTACTTAAGCAGGCCAGTGTGCCTCACCAAATATTTCTTGGGAATTACCATTTTGCAATTTTAGATACAATAATTTACTCGTTATACCTTAATTTGGTAGAGCTTTCGCAACAATTGGTATCAGAACTCAAGGTTTCTTAGTATGCTTTGTGGTTGCAACATAGTCTGATCCTCCACATTAGAAAAGATTTCTTGGGCTATTGTTATTCTACATTTAGGAGCTACTAAATATAATTTGTAGAGATGGCCGAAAGTAGATCTTCATCTACAATGCAAGCATCGACAAGCTCGTCATCGTCTATTATGGCGAGAAATGCTATGATGAATGCAAAATTAAATGTGGAGACATTTGATGGTACCAGTCATTTCGGTACGTGGCAAAGTGAGATTCTAGACACGTGATAAGTGAATATTTAACGTACATTTTGTACAAATTTGGCATGAACTTTTGGTATGTTTTGAGAAGATTAAAGTCATATTTGAACTCTTTTGGTGATAATTGCTTAAATATTGTTTAAGTGTTCAAAACTTGATAAATGAGTGGATTAATGCATTAATTTTGTGAAATTGTGAAGGTTATTGATGTATGAAATTCATGCACGAGCTGAAAGAAATGTAAGGATCGTCTAGAAGACAAAGTACAAAAGAAATTGGGACCAAAAATGTAGAAAAAGGAAAGAAGTGAAAAACTGGAAATTTAATCAACACGGATCCGAGCTCGGATCCGTGTGAACAAGGGGCGATCCGAGCCCTCATCTGTACTTCTGGAGTAGTGTATCCGAGGACAAAGCGATCCATGAGAAAAAGGCCTCGGATCCTTAAGATCCGAGCTTGGATCCATTTTCACCATTCGGATTCGAGACTCGGATCTGCTTCTCTCTCCTGCAAGTGGGGCACAGTTGTTTTTTCTCACTTTTCACACAATTTTTCAGCTATTTGGAGTGAGTGAATTCGGTGGCACATGCTTCTGCAACAAAAAGGAAGACAAAATGAGTTATTGAGAAGTCAAAACAATATATCTTTTGACTTCCTTTACAAAATCTAAGTGGTTGAAATCATGAAAGAGAAAAAAAATGCCTTTCTACCACCTTTTATGCAGAGACACAAGGGAGAAGCAGGGGAAGAACCATACGTAGCTAGTTTTCCTTCTTGTAACAACTTTCTCTCTAGCTAGGGGTTCTTAAAGAAACATTTGGAGTTTTCACTTGTAATCATATTGTGCAAGAGCATAGTAAGAATTGGAGAGCTTCACTTTCAATTGGCTAAACTTTCTTTTATCTTTCTTGTACTTGTATTTTATGATATTTTGCATTAATAAACTTGTGGGTTTGATTGTTAAATCATTCATGAGTAGCTAATTTTCTTTATCTAGGAAGTATATGAAACTTATGGCTAAATAATATGAATTGAATGTGATTTACATTTGTTATATCTTGTATTAACTTGTTTACTTGTGTAGATGTGATTACTTATTATTGATTGATCACCAATAGCACGTTTATAGTTGTTATTGTTCAATGAGAATTGGTAGTAGCAATGAAAAAATGTGAGTAGAGCTTAAGTTGTATGTTCATGAAAATAGAGATACATTTAAGTGGATTACTTAGCATTTCATGAAAGAAAACAGAGGAGTATTAGTATTTCACCATGAAAATAGGGAAAACTAAACTACTCAAGGTCATTTCATCATGAGAATGAGACTTGGTAATTTTGGAAATGAATCTCTGGTTAAACAAGAATAATAACAAGAGATAAATCTATTCATTTGTGTTGTTTATGTCATAAGTGGAGTCTACATCCCTAGATTCTTTCTTGAGTGAAATTTCTCCAATTGCATTTAGCATTTGTTAAAATAGAATTGCAGATCAGATTTGTAGACATTTGTATTACATTTCTTTGCTCAAACTCATTTAATAGTCTAAATAATAGAGAAAATAATGACTTAGTAATTGGTTAATTTGCTCCTCATGGGATCTACCCGATACACACCT